AAAGTGGCAACCGTTTGAACGGATGAAATGTACGAGGACAGAAACGCGAAACGCTAATGCCAGAAAATACGAGGAGTTGACCAAGGATATGAGCCGTAAGGAAGCAACTCGTCGGCCACACGATAAATAACTGACTACGACTACTAATTCTACTGCAAGATGCTGCCATGAACATTTACGTAAGTCAAAGATGAAAAAAGTTCGTCCGCAAAGGAACATATTACTGTAGCCTGCAACAAACTTGATCAAAAGGTTCAAATCTTTCTCTGCATCGATATTGTTTGGACTTCAGATGAAATGGATTAGAATTTCCAGATAGAGTATCCTTGTTCTAAACTAGCCTGTCATAATTACCAAAATGTAATGACTGTTAGGGATTTATAATAGGCTGCCTCTTTTTATCGTGAGGAAACGATCTGATAACAATAGGCCGATTCTTCACTAAAAATGACTAACTACTTAGTGAAGACTCTGTGCAAACATCCAGGGACTTAAAGCAAATGCAACAACAATCGGCCAAAATTCATTCAGCAACAAAAGGAAACCGGAATATTAGGGCGCAAGCGACGCTCAATATTTAACTATCGGTCATTAAGACCTGCCGCTTTTTCTGCACATGCCAAACAGAAATAGGAAAATATGTGGATGACAGCCAAAATTATAAGAGATCAACCTCTAGCCAATAACTACATTTAATATTCTGTGGCAATTTTTGTTTGCAAATTGCTTTAATTGCCATTCGATCGTTTTCAAACGCATACGTTCGCAACAAGCGGTAAATAACAAATTCTAATGCAGATAGGTCCATTAACGCTTAAAGAATTGCCAGCAATATATCGGATAATGGTGCACTAACTTGGAAATATTTTTGCAAAAATTACAAAAGACATTAGTTAAATGCTAAATTCGATCAAATTGCACACCTGCCTAAAACTGAAACAACCTACCTACAATAAAATGCAAATAGTCGATATGGGATTCGTCATAAATATGGTAGAACAATCTGTTTTAATTTCATGTCCTTGTATTGTGGAATCTTACTTCATGTCAAGACGATATAAGGAAAATATGTAATTTGGAAAACTGAAAACAACCTTAGTGGTGTGACTCACTTTTAGCAGTATGATTAAAGAATAGGAGCCTGATTTCGGTAAAGCTAAGTTTCGATTTTCGAAAAGTGACTGTTTTTTGATGCTAATGTCAGTGGTCCTATGTATTTATAATGCTAAAAAATCCGGAGGAACCGAGTGAAAAATTCCACAAGGTGTGCGGTTGCAGCACTCAGACATTTAGTTCTTTGACTGCTACGTTACATATTATGTTTACAAAATACCGCTGTGTTCTGATAGCCAACCTGTTTACCTAAGCGAATAAACTTCTATTCCTTGTGCAGAATCACTTATCATTTATTGCCCGAATAATCCTGTAAGACAATAACCAAATGAAGCTGTTGCGAGTTCGATTAAATTTTGGTTTGTACCTGTATTCTCTGCAACCATAAGAATTGAGTTCCGTTAATCGACAAGTTTGTAAGTGAACATTCAGACACGCTAATTGTCGCAGTTTTACCCAATGATAAAATTTTAAGTTATTCGACATTAACAGCAACAAGCAACTCTGTCGTTGCCAGTCCCAAGCCCAGTTAAGAAAAAAAGGGTTGGAAACTATGCCGAAGTTCCCGCTAAACTTAGTTACCTCCCTTTCATGGTATTTACAGCATCGAAAATTGTATAGGCTCGGTCGTCGTCCGAGTTATCAAGAGCCTCGCACGCTCTGGGAGGACTGAGGCAGGCTGCTAAAAGTCAGCGATCAGAACCTGCTCGTCCCCTTCTGCCAGCTGAGAACAGCAGCACGCACAACACCGGCTGACAAAGATCGACCGAACAACTACGAAGATGTCAATCAGCTACTCAGTCGCTAGCCGTTTTGAATGGATGAAGTAGACAGCTCGATGTCATTACAGCAAGCCAGAAAAGAGTCCACGAGAACGACACTGTTAGAGGGAGTTTAACATCGTAAATTGGAATATATCCTCATTCAGAGGGAAAGAAGAAATAGCAGTCAGTTGAGGAAGTTGCAAGGTACCAACTCGACATAGTTAAATTCTCATCAACAAAACGGCAAGTCTGGAACCTCTGAGGGTGGAAGTCATTCTACTCAAATGCCGACATTACGACGCCCCATCAGGCCCATGTTGGTGCTCCAGTAGCAGCAAACCTTGCTGATAGAGTCACTCACTGGAAACCTGTCAGAGGAACAACGGCGATCTTCCGACCAGAACTGTCACAGCCTAATGCATTGATTCTGTTATGTGTCTTGCTCCAGCTGGGAGAGCGAATATGGGTCGTTCCTTCAGGAAGTACAGCATGCACTATTCAAAGTGCCGGCCACGTAGCCCCTCATTCTAAACGGGCGATTTCATTGTGCATGTCGCAGTAAACGCTGAAAAGTAGAAAGGCGCGACTGAAAAGATCAACCACAATAGAAGCGACATGGAGTTGTTACGATTTTGAGCAAACAACGTTCTATCCATTATGAACACCTTCTACCTTCTTCGAGCATCGAACAGTGCATCAGTATACCGTGTTCACATGAGTCATTGATCGATCTGATAATCGTATCGTCCGACTTGAGACGGTCTGTAATGGATTTTCGCCTTAAAAGAGGCGCAGAGTGGTCAACCAATCACCGCCTTGCTGTTGGTACGCAATGTTGTAAGTAATCCACATGGAGACCTGACAGCAGAAACAACAAGATTATCAGAAAAGAAACATTTTCTTCTGCGGATTCGAGGGCAAAAGTTGCAAACAACAACTTCAAGGACAGTCTTGAGGATGAGTCTTGAAAGACAGGTCTTGACAGCCTCTTACCAAAGATGAGGACATTCTTAAGCGATGGTGAAGTACCTTGAGGAACTCTTTAACCCCGAGCAACCACAGGTGCACTCGCCTATAGAACTGCCAAGGTGATGAGTGTATCGATGTAGGAGATGTGAAGATGAGAAAGTTGCCGTTTGCAGACGATCTTACTTTATTAGTGTCTTATGAAACTGCTCTTATCCCCATATTTACCTAGGTCATGAATCGTGGACCATCAATGAAAACCTTCGAATCT